TAAGTTGTGGTCTTTTAAACGATGGGAAATAGATTTAATTAGGAAAATTTAACCATATTCATCAAAAGGATATAAATTTATATTAATAATCATTGATTATTTTAGTAAGTGGGTGGAAGCGATACCTTTGAAAGATGTCAAACAAAAAGATGTTATTGCTTTTATAGAAGAACACATAGTTTATCAATTTGGAATCTCATAATCGATAGCTACAAATTGAGGAACAATATTCACAGGTAAGAAAATTGTTAACTATGTTGAATCAAGGAATATTAAACTATTGTCTTCAACTCCTTATTTTTCTCAAGCTAATGGACAAGTGGAGGCTACTAATAAAGTTCTAATCAATTTGATTAAAAAACATATGGGAAGTCGACCATGAAATTGACATGAAACATTATCTTAGGTATTATGGACTTATAGAATTTCTCCAAAAGATTTCATAAAACCAACTCCATACAAACTAGTTAGTTTATGGACATGATGCAATATTGCCAGTTGAGATTAATATACAATTGGTTCGAATTCAAAGGCAAAATAAATTATCAAGTCAAGATTATTAGAGTAAAATGTTTGATGAATTTAATGAATTGGATGAGGTTAGGATAAACACATTAGAGAAAATACTACATAATTTTTTTTTGCCAAATCTTATAATAAAATAATAAATAAGAAGTGTTTTAAAAAGGGAGATATAGTGTGGAAAGTGATATTATTGCCTATGAATCGAAAATCAAAGTGTTATTGAAAATGGTCTCCTAATTGGGAAGGACCCTTCATAATCATGAAAGTGTTACCGAATAATACTTATATTATAACTAATTTTCATGATGGACGAACAAAGTTATCAATCAAAGGTAAATATTTAAAGGCATTTACGACTCATCATTTATGAGAGAAATTGAAATAAAATATTAACTTTATATTTACAAATAAAATCAAAGTGTTTAGAAATTGTGTTCCGATCGATGTCGTTTAAACTTTACAATTAAAACATCCCACGCGTCTGAAATTGAAGCTCTCTATTTTTTTATATCCGCTAGTTTGATCTTATCATCTTTCAAATCCATAGTGATATCTTTTGAAGTTGTAAGTTGTAAGATTTATAGGTTGAGATCAAGAGGGGGGTGAATTGATCTTTTCAAAACTTTTGCAAATTACAGATACAAATTACCAATTTCAAATATTAAGAAATATTACCAAGTATTAAACCAAACAAAACAATCATAATTGTAAAAGGGTCAAGTAGAATTTAAAGAAAGTGATGAAAGAGAAAAAGAAACACCAAGAATTATACTGGTTCACCAAAATTACTGGGCTACATCCAGTTCTCAACCAAATTCCAGTTAAGTTCCACTAGATTGAAATTGTTTTGATTACATAACAAAATTACAAAACATTCAACTTGCACCAAAAACCAAATTCCAGTTTTTGTACCCAACCTGCAATCAAGTTCCAGTTGCAGAACCAGTGTCCAAACTTCCAGACACCAAGACAGAAATAAATTGAAAAACAAATGAAAGAATGAAGAAACTAGAAAAATCAAACCCGATTATGTAGATGCAAAGATTCCACTGTAGATTGAGTTTCTTCACAAGCAAGAACACAAAAATGCCTCAAGAAAGAACTTCAAAAATTCCCACTACCCAAAGTTGGCATCTAGAAAATTGAAGACCTCATAACCAGAGGTATTATCCACTAACCAATCAATGTTTGTTTGGTAAGGTATAAGAGTCTTTAGGATATGCTTTGTTTAGGTTAGTATAATCAACACACATGTCTTTTGCCATTAGATTTTTTTACTAATACTACATTAGTCAACTAAGTAGCATATGTTACTTCTTGGATGAAGTTAGCTTTTAACAAATTTTCAACCTCTTACTCTACAACATTATGTCTTTCTTATCATAACTTACATATTTTTTACGCTAAACAATTAGCTCCAAGTAAGATAACAAGTTTATGACACAAAATTTGGATCAATACCTAACATGCCTACGACACTCCAAGCAAAGAGATTGATGTTCTTGCGAAGCATAGTTTCTAGTTGGATCGAGTTTTGATTTAAAATTTGAAAAGCATTCATCAAATTGGGGTCGAGTTTCTTCAATTTTTGACATATAGACTCATCAATGCTTCTCTTTAGTGAATATGGTCAAGTTTTCAAGTTAAGATCATAACACTCAGGCCTTTTTAGGGTATGCTTTGATTGTTGCAATTTGATCTCCAATAGGGAACTTCATGGCCATGTGTGGAGTGGATACGATGGCTTTGAGTTGATTAAGGGTTTTTCATCCTATCAAGACATTGTAAGAGGTGTCAACCTTTATTAAGATATATCGCACCAAAAAGATTTTGTTTTCTCCACCAGTGCTAAAGGTAGTAAGCAAATTAACATATTCTTGAGTATGAATTATTTTGATAGTAAATCTTACGAGAGGGTCAGGATGGTTGGATCAAATCATGTGAGATGTCCATCTTTAAAAAGGTGGACTAGTATAATATATCTATTGTGCTTCCTTAATCAACAAGTGTTTTTCTTACTCCCAAATTGGCGATGTAAACAGTAATTGTCATGAGATTGTCTTGTTTGGGATCATGTGAGCTGAAATCATCACCTATGAAGGTAATAAGTGACATTTTGCTCGGCTTAAATGATTGAATAATGTTAACATTATTAACAACCCTCCAATGTCATTTCCAAGCTAAACATGTACTTCAACCTCTTACGAATCCTCCCACAATCGTATTTTGTATTCCTCTCACCTGTCACTAGGTGCATTCTGTGAAGGAGTAACATGCTGAGAATTAGGGCGAGGTGGACCACGTCCTCGACTCTAAGCACCAAAAATGGGAACACCTCCTTCCTCAGTATCCTCGCGAGACTTCTAATTTATAACACCTATCATGCTTATAATTTTAAACAAATTGTTCTAAGGTACCAACTCAAATAAGGTATTTAATGATATGTCAAAAATTTCTACAATTTCTAGTGGTATGTTCATAGTTTTGATGTGAAAAGTAATATTTTGAATGGTCTACATTTGAAGGAGTGGCTGATGACTCTAGTAATTTCACCAATTTTAGGTTGCATGGCTCTTGTAAAATTGTTTCAATATTATTATACAAGGAAGTAAATTTCCTCTCTTCACATTTAAATATCTTATCTGGATTGTATTTATTGTAAGAACCTTCTTTCTCTTACAATTTTTTATTTCAATATTATTTTCCAATTATATGAACTTGGAAGCTTAGGTTCTAAGTTCTTCCAAGGACTCTGGATAGCCCATATATAGGTTGTCTAGGAACGGTCTTGTCTTAGACCTATTATCAAGGGGTAAATAATCAAGTATGGGGACAAGTTATGCATGATAAGGCTTACCTCATTAAACCTTTCTATAAAGCTCCTCAAGTGTGGTCATGTAAGTATGAAATTAGCTCGACACTTTCGTGTTAACATTTCAAATGACTTTATTGACCTACCGGGTGGATCATAAAGCCACTTCAGTAATGCTTCTTTCAATGTCATAGAAAAAATCTTGCATAAGAAAGTGTCATTGTCACCAAATACACTCATATGTATCAGATAAGTCCGAATATGCTTGTTTGGATTAGCTCCTCCACCAAACTTTTCAATCGTAGGCGTCTTCCACACTGATGGTAACAATTTTGCCAAGATCTTAGGAGTGAAAGACTTTCAAGTTTCAACTTTGATTGTCCTCGGACTTGGAAAGAGGTTGCCTTCTCAACACTCACCTGTGCTCAGTTTGGGGGTTTCTATGACTAGATTCACCTCCATTGTGGGTTTCATCCTTATGAGGGGGTGACTGGTACCATGATTGACATTGATTTCTCAATGAGGTATAGTACCTCAAAGGAGATACTGCTAGGATACACAACTGCTTTTCAATTTCTTTATTATGCATTCTAAAGGCCTCCATTTCCTCTTTGTGTTTTTGTTCCAACCAAGCAATTTTCATGTAAATGTTTGCTTAGCTCATTCTTTGCAACATTTCGCTTTTCTTTTGCATTTGGTCAATGTACACCTTAAGATTGCTATTAATATTTTCAAGATTTATGCTAGTGTTTCCAATATTCGAATGTGGTCCAGGATATGTTTTATCATGGCTTACAGTGGATACCAAATGTTCTTGTAATAAATGAAATAACAATCAACAATTCCAGAAGCTTGCATGATAACGATCTAAGTTACAATCTTCTAAGATTCAACTTGATTGAGGTATGTCGAGTACTAAAACAAGTGAGAGATGTCCTATAATAATACTTCAAAGCTTAAATCAACAAGGGAACAAAATATGAATATTAAAGTAATAATTTTTCTAAAAATTATCATACCAATTATAATTTAGATAAATTCTAGTAAAAAAAATAATTTTATCTATTAAATATCCATCATTATGTTTTTATATCTTTTAGCAAGTATACGAACAATAAAAAGTTATTTATTACATATATTTTAAATCTGAAAAGATGGACAATTACAAAAAGTAATATTAATATTTTTCTTGTTTAATTTTCTTGGTACAACTTAGTTTCCTCTAACAATAAAAAGAAAATGTTCTACTTTAATTTCCAATAATATTTTGAAAATCAGTTATTTATAATTATAAAAATTAAAAATATATATAGTAGTCTGCTTAATAGTTATTAGTTAACATGGTGATAAAGCTAAAAAATATGTTAATGAGCTAACAAATTGAAATTAATATTTTTCTTTTTCTTGTTACACATGACAAAGATTTTCTTCATTTAAATTTAATTATTATCCCTTACTTTCCTTTCCTCTCAACAAAAACAAAAACACATAACCACTGCGGAGTCCTATCGCTTCGCTCACTCACTCCGCTCCACTATCCTCCGTATTCTCTCTTTCCCGCAACACAATCCACAATTCAAATCAAATCAAATCAATCTTCGAAATTATTCCCAACCAAAGGCACCCTAACAAACAAAATCCCTTCGCCGGAGTCGCAACCAAAATGGCAGAGGTTCCGCTGCCGGAGGCGCATCTCAATGGCGGAGGACCACCAGCGGCGGCCAACTCCTCGGAGCCCTTCGGATCGAAGCGCCAGCGGTGGCCGAGTGTTCGATTGGGCGACATCGGCGACCAGCCCTACGAGTCCCACTCCCGCCGTACCGCGGCGAAGTCGTGGCGCCTCTCTTACGACCATCCCCGCAACTCTGCTGCTGCCGTCGGAAAACCTTCCAAGACCCGCCCCCTCACGAACCTTGCCCCCGCCGCGGAGTTCGGCGAAACCCTAGAGAGCGACGGCAACGTGGACAGCGTGGTGATTGGGAGCTGGAAAGTGAAGGACTCGAAGAAGCGCGGTGCGAAGCGAATCAGATCGAATTGGATTCCTAGAATCGACGGCGAAGACGAAGTCGTGGTCGTCGATGACGCGTACCACCACCGGGATTTCGAGGCGGAACATTCCGAAAGCCCCTTGAGGGAGCAGAGCCCTATTATGGAGAATTTGGGTGTGGATGAAGAAAGAGAGGTGCAGCATTACCATGATAATAGGAATAACGGAAGAGAAGACGCGGTTAGAATTTGGCTCAATGGGTTAGGGTTAGGTCGTTACGCTCCCGTGTTTGAAATTCATGAAGTTGATGACGAGGTTTTGCCCTTGCTAACCTTAGAGGATCTTAAGGATATGGGGATTAATGCTGTTGGGTCGAGGAGGAAAATGTTTTGTGCGATTCAGAAGCTTGGGAAGGGGTTCTCCTGAGTTGGGATTTTGATACTCAATTCTCAGCCATTGCGAATTAAGTTGCATGTCTGAATGAACTCTGAGTTGTAGAGTATGCTCTCACATAACTTGTTAGGCTTTTTCAATGCTTAGGTTCTTATTTGGAAACAAAACGTCCTTTTGTTCATATAGCTGATAATTTTGTTCGATCCACTAGAACTGTTTTTAGTTTTAGATTTGTCTTTGAAAAGGCAGAAAGTCTAATCATGAGAAAGGGGGAATATAAGGGATTTGGAAAGGTTTTGTTTTTAATAAAAAGGAATCTCTGTTTTATTATGTTGGTAATCTCTGGCTCTCTTGGTCTTTTTTTGTATTTGTAGATGTTCTGTTTTTCTGATAGCAATCGATAAAGGTCAATTTTTTGCTTATCTTTTGCATTTTGTGGCATGCTGTGTAGTTAAATTAATGGGTGTTCAGCATACGAGTATAGATTGCATTGCATTTTGTTTTTTTTATCCATCGTAAGCAGAGTATACTTAGTGAATAAGGTTGTTAGAGCAGAAATGAGTCAGAGCATGTAGTATTGTTACTGGTATCAATTGTCTTGGGTATATAATGATGGACTTGACAACTAAAGTGACTAATTTGGTAGGCTCTTAATGGATTATTTTGGTTGGGTGAAATGAAGCATATCATCAGGTGCAGTGACTTGCTATTTCTTGGTACTCCTGAAGTCTGAGTATATTTGTGTGGATAAATTTGATAATTGAGGTATGAAATTCAAGCTGATTTGACAGTATCATCCTTCTTACCAAAGGAATACTGTGACTTCCCTATATGCAATTACAATGCTAGCCCAACTTTTCTGCTAACCGCAATGTACTTTGGCAGACCAAAGCATTTGTTCTGTTGCAGTAATTGGCAGATAAATAACTGATTGATCGATGATTGTAATAAGGCTTATCATAGTCTTGCCAAGGCTAATAACTGGTTTGACTAATGAATGGAAGAATACATGTTTAATGATTGCATCAATGATTACGAATAGTAAGCATCTGCTAGGTAGATGGAAAATTATGTGATAGTGCCTATGGTGTTCCTAACGGGACAAAAGTCAGAAACTAATAATGACACTCAATAGACCAGCCAGAGAGGTTTCCCATGACACATTATAAATGCTTATTAAGGTACGTAACGAATTGCCCCACCTTCTTTTTATCTACATTAGATTTCTTTCGAAATTATGTCCACCAATATTGAAACTTCTTAAAATCAATGAAATTTTGATTATTATACAATAATAGCAACTATGGAAACACGGTAAATAGGACATTAGAATTTACTGTTTCTCAAATCGAAGACTGGAGATTGTTCAAAACAAACTCTGTAACCTTTCGAGTTTTTTACCATTCTGGATTCCAAGTTCTGGTATGATTTTAACGAGTATTGAGTTTTTGGGGGAGATATGACAAAAACTAACGAAAACATAACCAAACGGCTTAACTCTGCAGGACGTCATAAGTTTTGGAGGATGACATTGTTTTGGTACCCTTGTTTGTGAATCCCCACAAGAATTTGCTTGGCTAGATCCAAGATGCGCAACAGAACTCAACTGAGCTAATAATAGCATTCCATACTTATGCTGCAAATTGATGAACTTATGACTAATGTCAGAAGGAAGAAAACAAGTCGAGCAACGTACGAAGGCTGATCTTGGATAATTTGACGAATGAGTTGACTCGAACTCAAATATATTAATTGGTATATATTTATTAGTAGATTAAATTCAACCTCATTCGATGTGACCTTATTTTAACTTCAAAATTATTAAAAAATATTAATACAAATTTTATAACGTAATTTATTATCATGATCACGTGAAAAATATTAATTATATACAAAATTTATAGATTTATTTCTCCTTTCAGGTTGTCTAAAAGATTTAAAATTATCATTAAAATATATAAAGACTAATACTAGGAATATCATCAAGAGTTCAACCAATAGTCTTTTTATTTTTTTAATTACAAAAGTTAATTTATTTTCTTAATCAACATTTAATAAATTAGAAATAATAATAGGAAAAAAATTATTATCATCCCAAAAATGTATATTTTAAATCACAACCCAAAGGTTTTAACTCAAACAAAAGAATTAATTAATTTAGGTTTTGGATTTTCTAAAACCAAATTTTTTATTTGTTTATTTTTTAAGAAACATTTCTTAAGTGTAACTAAGCATGGCAACGGGACGGGGCGGGGTGGGTTTTGCCTCCCGATCCCCGCCTCCAATTTTTTAACCACCCCTGTCCCGCCTCGATCACCGTAGGGTTAGAAATTAAGTCTCCATCCTCGCTGAATTTTGGGTTCTTCGTCCAGTCCTCGATCTATATTATTTTTAAAAAGATAATTACATTTATAATAAATTAATTTTACTATCTATTTTTTATATATAAATAAATATTTATAATTTATAATTATTATTAATTAAATATACATTTTAATTTATTATATTTATATTAAACTATGTATGTAAAAGAAATATTTAATCATTTTTTATTTATAACATTATTATTATTATAACATCTGTATTCAAATATTTGAATATTTATAACATTATTATTATAATATTATATTCAAACATTTGATTATATATAAGTTAATTCATTTTAAGTTGTCATTTAAAAATATGAAATATATAGTTTATGAGGAAATATTTAATAAGTTAATTCTTATTCAATTAGTTTGAAATAATAAAAGTTTAAATTTTTAATTTCTTTAATCTTTTAAAATGCAATTATTTTATTAAGATAAAATTTGATATATGATAAATAAGAATAATAAGATAAAAAAATATGACATAATAAAATCTAATAAATATAAATTATAAATAAAATAATATTAGTTACTACTAAGATTTATGTAAAATATTTAGAAAAAGATAAAGAATAAAAAAAATTAACTTTGTGTTATCAAATTGGTTGAAAAGATTTAAAAAAAAAACAAATTGATGGGAGAGATTAAGGAAATGTGAAAAAGCTGAACGGTAAAAGAAAAAATAATGTAATAAATTAATTGATATAAAAGATTAAAAAAGACACAAAAATTAAAAAGTGGGTAGAAGAAAAAAATTGGTGAAATATAAAAAAAATGACCTTCTATGTAAAAGAAAAAGAAAAGGAAATACTTTTAAAATATTAATATTTTAAAATTTAAATATAAAGTCGGGGTAGGGACAAGATCGGGGTCGGGGCGGGGATTGCATTACCCATCCTGCCCCCGCCTCTGACTTTTTAAAGCGAGAAAAACCTGAACCCGCCCCCACCCGTGGTTAACTCGGGTTTTCCCGTCAAACTCGGGGCGGGGACGGGTCGATCCCCCACGGGTTTTAATTGTCATCTCTAAGTGTAACTTGCATTTGTTTAGTGCAACTTGTTATTTTTTAATTTTCAAAATTTTGGAGTGCAATCTCGTTCTTGTTTACCAAATTCAGCTCTTACTTACCAAAGGTTATTGAATTAATTAACAAAGACTTTCTTGAGAAAATTCAACTTTCGCTCAGTGCCCTTCTCAAAGTGAAAAATAGAAGTAGTTATTACATAATTTTCGCTAGGTGAGTTTAACACTTGCCCATGCAAGTTCAACTATCATCCAATAATCAACTTAGAACAAGACATTAGATGTGTTTTTGCCAGACTTTCATTAAGTGAATTCAACTTATGCTTAGTGACTCTGTCAAGCTTAGAATACGAATCAATAAATTTTTCATGAAATTTAGTTCAAAAATAATGATTAAAAGATTCAATGATATGTTCAACGATTAAATCAACAATCAAATCAATCCTAACATAGAATGATCTTCACATTAATGTTTCAAGGCATATAGGATATTAAATTTTACTATTGTGTCACTAAACTTCATACTTTATGTACTAACATGTAATGTGTGTTATTTTCAAGAATGATCTTCCCAAAATAAAGAGGAGGAGAATCAAGATTGAAGTCACTAAAGTACTTACCTCCCATATCCAAAATATAGAAATATGTGGGAAAGATTAAATTGTCCACTTTCACTGAGACATCCTCAATTCGACCAGTTGGTTACACTGTATTTTTGTTTGCAACTTGAATTACCACACCAATAGGTTGCATAGATCCAAGGCACAATGAAGAATACATGGCTAAAGACATAACATTATTATATTTTCAAACCACTTGTTACTTATTACACATGGAATTATAAACATACATGAATCTTTACATTTTTTAGGATTCAATACATTAGATGTAGTAAATAATGCATAAATATTCCTCCATAAATTTATCTTCCAATTATCTTTGAGCCTTCTTTTGTTGGTGCACAAATCTTTTAACAATTTAACATATTTAGGCATTTGTTTTATGACTTCAAGCAGAGGATATTGAATTCAATTTTCTAAATATAAATTCAAGAGCTCATTGTCTAACTCCTCACTTTTCTTCTTTGATCCAAAACACCTCTAGAGTGACTAAGGGTGCTACAACGATTGTTTTTGGCTATTTTCCAACTACTATTTTTAGCTTTTGGTATGCTATTTTTTTTTTCTACAATTGTGGCTTATGTTTCAACTCTTGGTGTGATGTCCTTTTTTTTTTCACGTTGTTAACCATATTTTAAGACTACTTTCTATTAAGTCTTGACAAAAGTAAGATACGATATAAATGTTTACACATTTATATGTACAAAGATGTGAGTTTTACAAGTTTATATTGTTTTTATATCAGAAACAATTATTAAAATTGACCAAAAAAAAAAAAAAAAAATCTTCTAACAATGGTTGAATGATACATATCTTCATCTTGATGCTTCCATTTATTTATGTTGATATTTTAGTTGTAATATGCATAAGACATAATAATAAGGAAGTGAGAACAATTATCATTTAAAATAATAAATAGTATAATTAAAATAAAATAAATAATATAATAATAGTATATTTCCTACCTTAAGAATTAAAGGTGTTACACCAAAAATTTTCCTTTAATATTATTTTTCTTTCT